TCCAGAACGATTTGTTCCAAAAGTAAATATTTTACTACGTAAACAAAGAACCACATTGTCTATAATTAACATATAGCTCGCTATGAATATTCTACACTGAAGCACTTGGAATATCAGAATCGACCTAGATCTGTATCAAATCCTCGAACTATCACCTCCGGGCGATCCACGTGTTAAAATTTGATGCGACAAGAGATTGAGACATCAGAACAAAGAACTCTATTAATCGTCCATCAGACAGCATTCAATGCAGATTTCCCATTGAATCCAAGTATCTAGAGCATAAAAATTGATCTGGATACAAAGTTCTACGAGTACCTTCAGTTATCATAAAATTAATCTGTTCGAACTTCCTCGAATCTTTTGGTTCATCGATGGGGAAGAACGTCGTCGACCTGATGACGTTCCTGGACATCTGCCAGCTCTACCTTCAGAACAGACGCAAGTCGAGGAACCTGTGCACGTTGTGGGCCATCGTCACGTTCATTCGCACCGAGGACACCGGTGAATTTCTTCGTTGGTGTCGGGCGTACACGGTGCCGCATCTTCGTTACAGAAACGACTACAATAACTTGGAGGAGAAAGAGAAGCAGCGTGTCGATAAACTGATCCTTCGACTTATTCAGGAATTATTTAACTGCGGGTGTTTGCCTTCCTGCGACATCAGTTTATGAACGAACGATACTCGATGATCGGGAAGATGCTCTACCTGCAGCTGTTCAAGATTTGCATGTGTAAGTGCGGTCTGGTTTGGATATTTTTGGGCTTAGGTTAATATTACTGCTATTAGGTTGTGGCTATGGTTACGTTTAGGTTGGGACAAATTCTTGGGATCTCATGTTAGGATAGATTAGGTTGGGATCAGATCTACTCTTCTTAGGATAGATGGGGTTTACTCATATCAAATCCACATATGTTCTGTTAGGTTTAGATTTGGTCACAATATGAAGGTATATGTGAGTGGAAATTTTATTTATAATTTTAGTACTTGTAAAATTTTGTGACTGAGTTTTTTGAAACGTAACACACGTGATCATACATTTATAAACGTTGGCTGGTTCACACGGAGGCACGATCTACCTGTGGATTCTTCTTTTGATTCGCATTCCAAGTGTGTTATTCTTCCCCGGTCGTTTTTCGCGTGCCCTCTTGGTCTCGTCGTGGTCCAAGTGGAGCTACGAGTGGATGTCTTGCAGCGTTCTTCTTTCGTTAACTGAGAGCCCACTCGACCTGTTTGCGTCGACAGATCTCTTTTCGTCGTGATCGTTGCTAACAAGAACCCTCTATTGCAGGGATGGGCGGTATAGTCTCCCGGTTCCGTAACAAATAGCTGATTTCGAAACTTAGAAAGTCTGAGGCTGTTTGATTACATAAAAATGATGTGAAATAATATTTACGATACGTCAATTTGGAACATAACGTTTGATGAAAGTGATTGATGTAAACTCGAAAGACGTGACACGTCGATTTAAGTTCCTATAATTTTCTGTTCGATTAACTTTGCATTTCTGCAATGGTATTTACGATATTTATATTCAATTGCTATAATTTCATCTGTGAATCGTTGAGAATGGTTAGACGTTCAAAATTAATACAACATATAACCATGTTATTCCTTTAGTTATTTAGCCATTTTTTTAATTAAGTTATGGTAGTTAAATGTCGTCACCCGTTTCGAATTACGATGTATTGAAAGATTGTTCTGTACGTTCCTGCTCCATTGTTTCCGTGATGTTTGATGAATAGAAGCCAAGAGCGTCTTTCCACGAATCGAGTGGGAATATATAGTTGTTATTTGAGGATATTGCTGACCGATCACCGAGACGATAGCTTTTCATCGCTGGCTTTGATGCCAAAAATGAAAGGATAGCACGTGCCTGGGCGATGATTAAAACTGGAGCAAGCTGATATCGATGAGTTTCTAACGATCTACGAATTATCAGCGACTCTTTCATGTTTTATTCTGCGTTTTTGTAGAATAATTATAGAACTTGTTTCATATAAAAGAAGAAATATTTCTATTTTACAAAATGATGTAAAATGCAAACTGCAATATAACACGTGGTGATATAACGCATGGTAACATAACATGTTAATGATGTAATGTGTGGCAATATACCACATGGTGATGTAAGGTATGGTGATATAATGTATGGCAATATAACATGTTGATGATGCAATGCGTGACAATATAACACATGGTGATAATACAATGCGTAGCAATATAACACATGGCTATATAATGTATGGCGATATAACGCGTGGCAATATCACATGTTGGTGATGCAATGCGTGGAAATGTGACACATGGTGATATAACGTAAGATGATATAATGTATGGCGATATGATACATGGCAATATAACGCGTAGTAATATAACGCGTGGCAATACAACGCATGGTAATATAACGCGTGGCAATACAACGCATGGTAATATAACGCGTGGCAATACAACGCATGGCAATATAACGCGTAGCAATACAACGCGTAGCAATACAACGCATGGTAATATAACGCGTGGCAATATAACGCGTGGTAATATAACGCGTGGCAATACAACGCATAGTAAAATAACGCGTGGCAATATAACGCATGGTAATATAACGCCTAGCAATATAACGTATGGTAATATAACGCGTGGCAATATAACACATGGCGATATAACGTGTGCAGCGATATAATTATTTAGTGACACATAATTATACACTGATTGCACAATTTTGTAGATTCATCGGCGATTAGCGTCGACTATATTGAAACTACATCGTCAGTACGAGGCAGAAAATTGTATCTTTTGTAAACCGCTACCATTAGAAAGTTGCAATTTTTCATTCTCTCTGGCTGGGTTTCATGCAAGAACAAATCATCTTCCGTTTACAGGGCAATAAACGTTTTCTCTTGTTGTCTTTATAACATGTAAAGAAGGTTTCGCGAAAAGATCTGCTTTAATTCGATGACCCAGGTTGTACAAAATGTGTTACCGATGTGTACGTTCAATTTTATATTGCTTACTACAGAACACCCAGTATATTTATCGATTGGAAATAACTATATGATCAGCAGTATCCTTTTTCCGAAGGATGAAACCCATTGTTTCGAGTTTGCAACAGCTGTCCACGATAATCTCGTTGTCGATACGCGATTCATTAGAATGTAGGACAGCCAGGGGAGATTAATTAGGTCAAACGTGCTACCTGTGGATTCCATCATGTTCCACCGAAAACTTGTGGCGAATTTTGTAACGTTTTCGTTGAAAATGTCTCATAGTTTCGTTTTTTCGTTGGGTACAGTTTGCTTGTATGTTAGGAGAAACATTATAGAAACGATCAACGTTGATTGTTTTAGTGGAAAAGGACATTATGTAATCGGACATCGGTAGTTATTTTTAAATTGAAGCTTTCAATTTGTTACCTTTTTAGTACCATAACTGTATTACTAATTTTCATGTAGATTATTTTATTACATTATTATTGAAACGTTGTTCAACGATAATCCCCCTTGAAAAAGACACTAGGTAGGTAGAAGCATACAGCAAATGAAAGTGACGAGAAAGTATTGAAACTGGTAACTTCAGAACCGGAATCCATGGTCGACAACCGATTATGGAATATCAGACGATGGATGACCAAAGAAAAGTAAACGTCATCGTCTGCTTCCATTCAAAGTCACCAGCATAAAAATGAACACGGTATAGGGTAAATTTCTTAATTCAATTTAACAATCTCCTACTTGGTATCATTAATGTTAATGACCTATCAACGCGTAATTCACTCGAGTAGTTAATAACGAACGATAATAAATACATCTTAATTATTCTAGAATTCAATTTAATTGGGCAATATAATACTAAAAAAAAGTTAAATAACTATAAACTTTTAGCTGACAATGTAAATGTCTCTTTTTCAGAATGTCACAGAGTGTGAAATATGTGAGCTACACAAACGCGACAGTTGAAATGACAGTGACAAGTTTCTTTCATAAAATTAGCAATTTTTTAAATTTCTGTATACGTTATATTGACATTTGTTAGACCACTTCGTGTTATATCGCCGCATGTCGAATTGTTGCGTGTTATTTCGCCATACATGGAATTGGCACGTGTTATATAAGCACGCGTACAATAGATATCTGTTGTACTAACATGTGTTGAGTTACTGCGCATTATATCGCCGCGCGTCAAATTACTACTCGTTATATCGCCACGCACTATATTTCTTCGCGTTATGTCGTCGTATTTTATATTTCTACGTGTTATATCACTGCATATTATACCCCTATACGTTATATCGCTGTGCGCTATGTTTCCTCGCGTTATATCGCCACGCACTATATTTCCACGCATTACATCGCCGTATTTTATATCTCTACGCGTTGTATCTTCACATATTATATTTCTATGCGTTATATCGCCGCGCACTATATCGCCTCGCATTATATCGCCACGCACTATGTTTCCGCGCATTATATCGCCACGCACTATGTTTCCGCGCGTTACATCGCCATATTTTATATCTCTACGCGTTGTGTCACCACATATTATATTTCTATGCGTTATATCGCCGACCACCATATCTCCACGCGTTATATCGCCGCACACTATATCTCCATGAATTAAATCGGCATATAGAATATTTCTACGCATTATATTGCCACCTGTGGAATTATTACCCATTATATATCGCCACATGTGGTTTTGTTATGCATTACATTTCCACATGTATGGTCTTCAGCAATATGTGGCCATATAAAGAAAGTCTACTATACTACCACATCATAAAAGATTAAAATCTTATTAATCCATTACCTGTATACCTGATATTTAATCTTCTCCACCTATCGCTACAATATTGTTTATAATTAAAATCGAAATGCAACCGCATCATAAATCTTTGGATCATTTAGATACGAATAGCATGATAAATAATTAAAATTGTAATTAGTTTCGTGCTGTAGAACGGTTCAGTTAATTAATGACGTTGTTATCTTATTTGTATTTGCAGTATCGCGGACACGCGTGTGGATGAGGGTAAACCATCTCAGCGAGAGGGATGTCTGAAAGCGAGGGAGAGCAAGTAGCTCGATCGGTGGCCCTTGAGCAAGCCTACGTCCATGAGGTTTACGAACAATGCGCCGAAAAGACTGTACAGAGCAAACACTGGCCACGGATCTATCAGTTTCTGGAGGAACTGGAACCTGGTGCCCTCGTGTGTGACATTGGTGAATATGGATTTTATTACGCTTTCGTGGTTTACTTTCTTGTGTTTCTTATTGGCGAAACAACTTCTGGATGTTGAGTGCGTTCAAGTTCTACTTAAATTTAATCAATTTTCAAGGGGTTACATTCAACTTACATCATGTTAATAATTCCTCGATTGATTGAATTGATTTATACTTGTTTCTTTAAACGAGGTCTTATGTGCGGAGTTATTCGTTAAACGATACAGTTGATATTACAAGACACTTCATGACGTGTTAACTGAGCAAGTTACAAAATGTCATCCTCGAAGAATAAAATAACATTCCTAATAACAAGTTATCCTACATTTTGTTTAACGTTACTAGTAACATTTTAAATATACTCGTGTTAGAGATATAGTTAAGTAGAACCGCCTTTTACTTGATACTCATATAAACATCTTTCGTGTTCCCTACCACACCACGACGTTCAAGTTTATGCAATTTTTCCAATCGATACACAAATCGAGTTTAGTGAAAGTTTTCTGATGTTTCCATTTAATTCGTTCCGGAGTAACTTGATGGAATTTAAATCGAGCGACTGTGACATTCAAATAAGATTCTGTCTTCTTACTTCCTACTTGCAATGTACACAGTGTGTCGGAATTAGAAATGCTAATTATAAATATCATTTCTCTTTAGTGTCAGTCTGTAATTCAATAAATACCTATATTCTTTTTCTCTTCTGAATGGAAGCAGTTATTTATTTTTTCAGCTCCTTAATTGAGCTCAGTGAAAGTCATTTCTCTTTTATAGTTTTATATTTTGCTTATTTAAAAGTAAAGATTCTTTGGTGAATTGGTATCGAATGAAAATTGACTGGTGAAACGACGAGTTAACTTGTTATGTCCTGTTAGGTGATTAAGTAGAAAGGATTGTTACGCGTTTAGGGTTATATCACCATACTGCATTCAGCTGTATACCCTTGCGTTATATTAACGGTTATTCTAAATGCATTGTCGTGTTATATTGCCGCTTTTTGCATTGTTTCGTATTATATTGCCATGCCTTGCATTCTATCGTATTATATCGCCACGCTTTGCATTCTCTCACGGTTTGAGTCATCTCGCGTTATATCGTCGCGCTTTGAGTTGTTTCGCGCTATATCGCCGACGCTTTGAGTTGCCTCGCGTTATATCGCCGGAGCTCTAAGTTGCCTCACATTGAATCACCGGCGCTCCGCATTCTCTCGCGTTTTGAGTTGTCTCGTGTTATATCGCCGCGCTTTGAGTTGCCTCGCGTTATATCGCCGAAGCTCTAAGTTGTCTTACATTGGATCGCCGGCGCTCTGCATTCTCTCGCGTTTTGAGTTGTCTTGCTTTATATCGCCGCGCTTTGAATTGTCTCGCGTTATATCGCCGGAGCTCTAAGTTGTCTCGCATTAGATCGCCGGCGCTCTTCATTCTCTCGCGTTTTGAGTTGTCTCGTGTTATATCGCCGCGCTTTGAATTGTCTTGTGTTATATCGCCGCGCTTTGAATTGCCTCGCGTTATATCGCCGGAGCTCTAAGTTGTCTCACATTAGATCGCCGGCGCTTTGCATTCTCTCACGTTTTGAGTTATCTCGCATTATATCGCCGCGCTTTGAGTTGTCTCGCCTTATATCGCCGGAGCTTTCACCTGTCTTGCGTTAAATATGCCACGAGTTAAGTTATCACGAGTTACATCACTGCGCATTAAATTGCAATGCATCACATCGTCAAGCATTATATTATCATGTTTTACATCTCCACTCGTAATAATACCACACATTGAATCATCACTCATTAAAATGTTACATAGTATACTACGTTATGCAAGGAAAATAGTAATTGCTAATCACACGTGATTAAAATGATCGAAAAACAAAATGTCAATGTAATTAACTACGTATATTATATAAAAAAAATTCATTTTAAAATCTCCAAAATAGCTGTAATTTCTGTGTCCAATTAAAGACAAGGTTCCCTTTGAATAACGTCACACTGTTAGCCAATCTTCTGGTTTTTCAATTGTACGCTATATGCCACGCCTCCATCGTATACAACCAGGTATATGGATACACATTCATTCCCATACAAACGTTCATTTATAGGTTCACGTCTTTATTCGTTCCTTTGCTCGGTTTTTCTTCGTCTCGCAACCTCGGTCACTCACGCTTTCACATGATCAATTGACCTCCCCATGGATCTATCCGCGCGAATCCGTGCAGATTACATACACACGCGTATTCCCGTCTGTGTGTACACGTGGACGTGTGTCTGTCTGTGTGTGACACACGCGTGAGCTTAATCCCACGTCTCGTAGCCTCTGAAATACCGTGGGATCCGTTCTCCTCGGATTGCACAAACTCATCGACAAGCAGCGAACTTTGAAACTGAATTGATATAGTGTCCTATTTTGGATTCAGGTTTGTTTGTTACAGGTCTCTTCAAAGGCCATCCATTATTAACAAAGAAATCACGAATATGAAATAGGGTAGAAATATAAATTGAAATATGCAAACTTGTAAATGGAAATTTCAGAATTTTTGAATTTGGGAAGTTTTCATTTGAGTTGTTTCGCGTTATATCGCCGGTGGTATAAGTTGCCTCGCACTATATTGCCGGAGCTTTGAGTTGCCTCGCACTATATCGCCGGTGCTTTGAGTTGCCTCGCACTATATTGCCGGAGCTTTGAGTTGCCTCGCGTTATATCGCCGGTGCTTTGAGTTGCCTCGCACTATATTGCCGGAGCTTTGAGTTGCCTCGCGTTATATCGCCGGTGCTTTGAGCTGCCTCGCACTATATTGCCAGAGCTTTGAGTTGCCTCGCGTTATATCGCCGGCGCTTTGAGTTGCCTCACATTGAATCACCGGCGCTCCGCATTCTCTCGCGTTTTGAGTTGTCTCGTGTTATATCGCCGCGCTTTGAGTTGCCTCGCGTTATATCGCCGGAGCTCTAAGTTGCCTCACATTGAATCACCGGCGCTCCGCATTCTCTCGCGTTTTGAGTTGTCTCGTGTTATATCGCCGCGCTTTGAGTTGCCTCGCGTTATATCGCCGGAGCTCTAAGTTGCCTCACATTGAATCACCGGCGCTCCGCATTCTCTCGCGTTTTGAGTTGTCTCGTGTTATATCGATCTTGCTGAGATAATTTTTAAAATTTGTAAATTTATTTAAGAAGATTTTTATATGTATCAACCTCTATAGTGTAAAGACATTGGTAACAGAAAAAAGTGCTCTCCATCTTTAACAAATAATACCACTTTTTTGTAAGTGCAAATGACATATTGATTTGTTCAGGTTGTGGCAACGGGAAGTACCTGAGCGTTAATCACAGCATCTTCAAGGTGGGAGTGGACCGGTGCAAACGTTTCACGGATATCGCGCGTGAGAAGGAGAATGAGGTAAATATATCATTTTCATGAAAATACAAATGAAGCAGTGTGTACAGGAAACCGGCTCTTACATCCGTATCCTGCTGCACCGTGCTTAATTGTATCCGGAACATTTCCTACGGGAAACGTTTTTCCGATTAACCGTGCCGTGTAATTGCATGAAAAAGTGCGACATTGTCGATAGCGAGTAGCATTGGTCGCTGGACCCATGGGGTATCGATAATTAACTGTAAACGCGTTTATAAATTGTTTAGTTATGGAAAATGTCTGACTTATCGGCCATTTTATACTAAAAACGTTCAAGAAAATATTATAGTTTTGTTCAGTGACTAAGATACAAATGTGCCACAAGTCCTATGTACACGAATAAAAAGTTGTTCTCAAATTGACCTAGTATTTATAGTATGTTATTTTGCAGGTGCTGATTTGCGACAATCTAGCGTTACCGTTTCGAGATGAGAGTTTCGACGCGGTCCTCTCGATTGCCGTGGTACACCACTTTGCCACAACAGAGAGGAGAGTCCACGCGCTCAGAGAGCTAGCGCGTGTACTTCGGATCGGTGGTCGCTTAGTGATATCAGTATGGGCTATGGAACAAAGGCACAGGAAGGTAAACATTCTGGTTCCCCATCAGGATGAAATGATGAACGTTAATTGAATCTAAGATCATCCACAGTTCTCTTTATGCGGCAAATTTGTAGTCGAGTTTACGTGTGAAACTGATATATCCATTACTTTGAAAAAGCGTGCTTCTGATGTAGAATTTATTGCATAAAGCTTTCACGTAACGTTTTACAAACTTTTCAATGCCAGTTATCTGATGGACACGAGATAGATGTGAACGATTTAATTCAGTTTAAAAATATCAACATCTGATAGGATTGCATTCAAATGTTATTTGAACATGCCTATGAAATACACCCACGCGAACATGACGGTCAATCGATACGATTGTTCCAATGCACATAGCCAAGGTAAACTGTTCGAATCTGTCGTGGGTGACCACATTTTTTCCAACCGAAGTCTTTTGTTTATATGGTTGTAACTGTATATAGATCCTTCAAATTTTCGAGGGAAATCAATAATCATCAAATTTTCTATTCTTTTATTTTCATTTAAGGTATTTGAGTCTGATGAAAATTTTATTTTACAAATTGAATTGAACCAAATGAAAGAAAAAAAGAATATAAAATGCAAACTCTAAGCTTCAATTAATCCTTTCACACATGTTTCATAATCCTGCATTGTGAACACATACAGGAATGTATTGATTATTTTCATATTACAAGGTATATTTGTCCCAAAATGTAATAAAATATTGTAACAAATTGTGAATACAAGAAATAGTGTTTTTATTAAATTAAATAATAACCATGTCTTTTTACTTTTTGATTTTATATACAGTGATATTTGTTTCATCTTTGACGTACCACTTCATCATCCTTGCAAATAGTTAGTATGACTTTGATATAGCCAGTCATCCATTGCAAATGAACTCAGAAATAAAAATTGAAATATATTATATTAATTACAATGATTATACAAGAGCTTCTGATGTGATTAAAAAATTTTTTCTTTTTCAGTTTGAATCTCAAGATGTATTAATACCATGGCCCAAGGCGTACTGCATGAATTCAACGCCAGAAAAATCAAAACGTTCAGGTGCTCCAAGAAATGCCAGTTTCAATCAGAACACTCAAAAATTTTTGTCATCTTCCAAAAGGTATGTATATTTCAGCTACTGTATATAATGAATCAAAAAGTCATTAACGTACCAAGTTTATGGTAACAGTACTTAAATAGTGTAATATTATCAGAAAATCTATTTTGCAATAGTTGCTAAGTATATTATAGTTTTATATAAGGAAAATTGTACTCTATATTTTCTATTCATATTTATACACAAGATCAATATCTTCTTGTCATTGTTAACAGTAAAACACTATTTATATATTTTGAAGTACCTTATATTAAAATTCATACAAACAGTTCCTTTGTGTTTCTTCTATTAGATAATGAAAAGTCTATAATTATCTATGAAGACTTTGAAAATTGAATAAATGAACTATGCACCACATCAATTGATTTTCTCACTTTAATATATGTCAATTCTGTATAATCATGTCAGAAAGTCATGAAAGCGATAGAAATTGCATTTAGCCTGTTTCCTTGTCCCTGTTTCACTCTTCTTTGAGACGCTTTCCTGTCTAGGTATCTAGATGACTTTGATAATTACAGTTAATGGGATCCTTGTTTCAGGAACAGCCAACGAAAATGCAAGAGCAAGAGTTATTGGATCGACCCAATATTCAGTCCATCACCATCTACCAGCAGTCTGTCAAGTCCTAACGAGACCTGTTATAGCTTTTTCCGTCGAGCTTTGCAGGTATTTATAACGATTTGACCTTCCATAACAGGTTCACTAAACCAAGGTAAATTCTTCAAAACGAAAATTTATCGATTTGCTTCAGAAACTAGCAGGAGGCAGGCGGGGCTCCGGAAATCGTCCTTGGTTTCTGGAGAGCTGGCAAAGCGGCAGCGGAAAGAACCGAAAAGATTACGAACAAGAAGAACCTCCAGACGCGGACGAGCTGCCGATCGAATTACGTTGCGTGGAAGACGTTAATGTTACTCTGAACAAACAATCAGACTCGCTGAGCATCAAATCGAAGAGCCTTGGCGATATCCTGGAGATTCAACGGCTGGACCTCGTGCGATCCAGGTCCAGCATACCCGGCCTCTGTTCCATGCTGACGTCCGAACTGAATTTGGACGGCGAATCCAGGACGTCGTCGTCGTCTATAAGCTGCTCGAAGCCACGGTTGGTGAAACAGAAATCTCACTTCGTGGATGACGTCAGTTTGGAAAATCCTGACAACACTGCCATTCAAGAACTAACTAAGGACGTTCCAGACTTTCAGGTATAGATGTTCTTGGAGTTTCACTTATGATTATCGTGGTCAACAAAATAAATCGTTTCGATAAATCCTTAAATTTCTGTGAATCTAGGTAACACCTACTCACAATTCAAAGCGGGGAAGCATCCTGAAACAAAGCTCCATGAACGAGGAGATAATGTCTGCGGAGAGGTTGGAAGAGAAGGAGAGGGTTCGACGGAATATAATGAAGCAAGCGTCTCTAAACGAGGACATCATCTGCAAAGGCAAGACGTTCGAATCCCTCAGGGACTCCCTTTACTCCGCTAACGCGACTAAAAGGTTTCAACTGTTAAAAAGTGGCCTTACGAATAAGATCAAACAGTCGACCACGAATATCGAGGTGTCAGGTATATCCATTAAGAACGGCTTTGTGAAGATTCTTCAGGGATGGAAGTCCGCTGAAAGCGATATATCACCGACGCCCTGTAACGGTACATCGAACGACGAAGCGTCAAGAACGAAGGGCAGTGAAAAGATTCCACCCACGACACCGACGAAGAGGGAAGTAGAGGGTGTAGAGAGGCGGTTGTCTCGGGAGGATGGTTCAGACTCGTCGAAAGACAGCAGTTTGCAAAGCGACACAAGCGTCGATTCCGAGGATAGTTTCGCGTCCGTGATTTACGTGCCAAAGCCGGACGCTCAGACATCGATAGATATTATACCACCCTCCACGGGTCATCAACTAAGTAGCACCTCGGCACCTCCTTCGCCGCGGGTCAAACATCCGCCTGATACGCATAATTCCAGGCTCAAACTCATCTCCATGTCTCCCCTGCTTAAACAGTTCCCAGCTACGAGTAAGTCTCTGCCACCGCCTAGTCCACCCGGCTTGTCTCCTCGTTCCCTGAATCCCGTATTCACTAGACCGTTTTTCGGCCCCACAAGTGTCGTTAGTCAACCGTCTCTTGATGCAACAAACGGTACAAAAAGAGCGGACGTTTTGAACGGTACCTACCAGTCGGTGGACTCGGAGCTACAGGTAAATAAGAAGAACGCCGAGAACGATGTATGTAGAAGGAATAGTTTCTTGGAGGGAAAGAAGCCCACTCTACAAGCCATACGCGCGTACCGATCGATGACCGAAACTCTGGAGGTCGTCGAAGAACCGCAAACTGTTAAGGACACCGCACCCCTTCTGCCGAAAACCGAACAAGAGGATACTCCTGAAGTACCGATGCAGGAGAAGAGCAACCATGACATTAGCAAGGAGGAGGAGAATCGTAAGGCCAGGTTGAATCAGATCAAGGAACTGTTGAAGCAGAAGCCAGGTTTTGCCACCAGGACCAAACCGTCGTTTCCTTTGGTTAGAAGAGCTTCGACCACGGCCAGCGGTCGTCTGGAAGCCGTCACCAAAGTTTTACCACGGTTACTGTCGTTGGAGCTGTTCAATCCTGAGACCGATGACCTCGACAGCGACTCCAGCGGAGTCTCTTCTCCAGAGTCGGTGGGTTCGGTGATTAGCGTAATATCTGACGAAAGGTACATGGCAAAGAAAGATAATAACAAGTCGGAATGCACCGAGTCAGAAGTGTTAGACAGTTCAGCGGAGAATGTCTCTGACCCTAGCGACATAACTGCCGACGAATCATCCGGTTGCGTAGCTGATTCGAAGGAGGACGAGGCGAAAACTGCGACGGATAGTTCTTCGTCCCATTCTTCAAGGTTTCCAGAAAGTTCTGCCTTGGGTGGGTCCTTGGAGAACGATGGTACTGTGCAACAAGAAGGAGCTGACTCATCCAGCTCCAGTGAGAGCAAGGTAACGAAGCCCAGTATTGAGATGCCGGAAGTGGATGCGACCTGGAACGAGGAACTCCACAAGCACCTGATTGACTTCACCGAGAACCTTAGCGAGAACCTGAAACACGATCAGTATTACCATAAATGTGAGCTGGACGGCGACAGAGCTGCTCAGAAGAACCCAACATTTTCTAAGAAGGAGTCTGACAAACGAATCGATGATCTTCACAGCGATTCCAGTGGAGTCTCTTCGTCAGAATCTGCGGGTTTAACCAGCATCTTGGTCTCTAAAAAGAGTAAGGATAGATCTGATACAGGTTATCTGAAGGGCAAGATCAAAACAACGACAGAGGCGTCCTCGAAGCTTCTCGCTGCCGCAGCGAACGTGGCTAGTTCCCTGGAGGACGCTGTTGGTACGGCGATCCAGAAAACGCACAGTACACATCCGAGGCAAATCGCACAAGAAACGGTCGAGGGTTCGAAAGCGAAAGAAAAGTCCAGCATTCAGTTACCGGAAGTGGACAACACGTGGAACGAGGAATTCCGCAAGCACCTGATTCATTTCACGGAGAACATCGGCCAAAGCGACCAAAAGATCCCGGATGATCCTTTCGTTTCGAAAACGAAAGACGAGGCTCCTTCCTCCAAATCCGTCAGATCCTCCAAGTCTAAGTACAACGATTTATCCAACACGATCGCCTGGCTGAGTAACGCCAACAACGGCTTCCACGAGCACCCCGACAAGATGGAGTCGTTAGACGTAGAGGATCCAGTTCGCAACAAGATGCAACGAAGCCCATCCGACGACATCATGGACTTCGTGATGGTGTCCAATACCGGCGAGTTCATGAACGAGAAAGAGAACGTCACCTCGGAGAAACCTGTGCCGGAGAAGCCGTACCTGAGGTCTGCCAACTCGATAACGTCCAGCGACATGGGCGAGTCCATCGACAACACCATCAGCTTCAGCAGTCGCGCGGAGTCCACCAGAAGACTTTGCAGCAGCATGGTGTCCTTACTGTCCAACAACACCACGGAGTACCCCAAGTCGTACGCGGAGAAACGCAGGCTCCAGATCCAGAGGAGGTCAGCATCGGAGGAGGCGCCATCCAGGTATCCTGACAACAGCAAACGCAGCACCGACTGTCTGGTGACCACGACGGGCAGCAACCACTCACTGAGTGGCTCGTCGTCCCAAGAATCGTTGACATCGGGCCGCGGAGGCGGCGCCATCACCTACCATCAGTACTATCACGTGTTCAGGGAGGGCGAGCTGGACCAACTGATCAACAAATACGTGGAGAACTTGCACATTATCTCGTCCTACTACGACCACGCGAGCTGGTGCATCGTCGCGGAGAAGGTGCAGGTCTGGACTATATGACTCGAGGCCTATGCTCGAGGCTCAATCGTTGGCGCGTTCTTATCCCGTGAATCTCGGCGCCTAACGCGCACTCATGCCACCAGATAGATCCAAAGAAGGTAATCGGTTTGCGAGCCACAGGTGTACTTTGCGCCATACTGAATGTTTCTCGTTTCAGTTTACCCGAAGGCCGATTTCTCCGCTGCTGTAATAGAATGCACGACGCGTACTAACAAGGGAACATCCCAACCCGGAAATTCAACGTTATGAAACTAGGAATATGTCGAGTGTATACAGACTTTCCTATTTATATCGACCCATTCGAATATCTTTGAAAATATTGATTATGCAAACAAATATTTTAGATAAAAGTTACGCGGACACGTAGGGGAGATATGAAGGTCATGTTCTTTAATGCTTCGTTCGATGCAGCTCGTTATTCTGTACAGAAAAGTATTAAGCTACTTATGGAGAAACGTCATTTTAATATTTTGCAATATATTTGCGTGGATTGATTTAAATGAGTCATCTTGTATATGCTCTACATATTCCTGCCTCAAGTTTTATAATTGTTCTAATTTCCAGGATGGTATGTTTTGTCGAGATATATTGACGCCTCTTTTAAACTCGTTTCGACTTGTGGTCTTAGTGTCGAATGGCCGCTGCCTGTTGAGGATTTCTAGTCAAGTTCGAGCAAGTGGGTCAACAGCAATTCAAGTAGCCACTTGAATTCAGTATTTAGTCGGAGCCATTTTGGTCACTCATGGTCAATGAACTTAGTCTCATTGTGCGTAGAAGAATGAAAGATTATAGAAGAAAGAGAGGAATACAATAAGTAACTATAAGAAGAATTTACTTATGCCTGTGATGAGCGCCATCACCTACCATCAGTACTATCACGTGTTCAGGGAGGGCGAGCTGGACCAACTGATCAACAAATACGTGGAGAACTTGCACATTATCTCGTCCTACTACGACCACGCGAGCTGGTGCATCGTCGCGGAGAAGGTGCAGGTCTGGACTATATGACTCGAGGCCTATGCTCGAGGCTCAATCGTTGGCGCGTTCTTATCCCGTGAATCTCGGCGCCTAACGCGCACTCATGCCACCAGATAGATCCAAAGAAGGTAATCGGTTTGCGAGCCACAGGTGTACTTTGCGCCATACTGAATGTTTCTCGTTTCAGTTTACCCGAAGGCCGATTTCTCCGCTGCTGTAATAGAATGCACGACGCGTACTAACAAGGGAACATCCCAACCCGGAAATTCAACGTTATGAAACTAGGAATATGTCGAGTGTATACAGACTTTCCTATTTATATCGACCCATTCGAATATCTTTGAAAATATTGATTATGCAAACAAATATTTTAGATAAAAGTTACGCGGACACGTAGGGGAGATATGAAGGTCATGTTCTTTAATGCTTCGTTCGATGCAGCTCGTTATTCTGTACAGAAAAGTATTAAGCTACTTATGGAGAAACGTCATTTTAATATTTTGCAATATATTTGCGTGGATTGATTTAAATGAGTCATCTTGTATATGCTCTACATATTCCTGCCTCAAGTTTTATAATTGTTCTAATTTCCAGGATGGTATGTTTTGTCGAGATATATTGACGCCTCTTTTAAACTCGTTTCGACTTGTGGTCTTAGTGTCGAATGGCCGCTGCCTGTTGAGGATTTCTAGTCAAGTTCGAGCAAGTGGGTCAACAGCAATTCAAGTAGCCACTTGAATTCAGTATTTAGTCGGAGCCATTTTGGTCACTCATGGTCAATGAACTTAGTCTCATTGTGCGTAGAAGAATGAAAGATTATAGAAGAAAGAGAGGAATACAATAAGTAACTATAAGAAGAATTTACTTATGCCTGTGATGAGTATACGAAGAAAGTTGAAAAAGCTTATAACGTTATCTCTAGCAAGATGACCTTGAGTGACTACGATCCTTGCTCTTAATCACTCAGATCCCATCAGCTTTGAGTACTTGACGCTTAAACCTCTCAGACTCTACATTCTGAATGTACTTCTGCATGTTACTATCCATGATCTGAACGTGTGAACTGAACAGAAACATTCTGCCTCGCGAAGTATACCCCATCACTGAATTCTACCGAATTGCGAACGATATCGTTTAAAATAAGAGAAAATGCTTGAGAGGCGAATGAAGAACGAGATGTAAATATGTAACATAAAAAACGTTTCCGACGTAAACGCACAGATCGGTAAACAAAGGTGTTCATCAGATAGGGGACACTAATTAGAATAGATATTTATATCATTCGTCTAAGCGCTTGACCAAATGTTTCTTGTTTACTCGTTTGTCCGTCGAATCCATTTCTTAATTTCCCAACGGATGTCCATTCTAGTCTCGAACGATCGCGCAATAACGCGTAGCCTTAGTTTAAGCGTTAGGTCTGTGGTTCCTAATCTTTTCATCGTCGAACGTCATCATACTAGAATCATTCTCCCGTGACAACGGACACACGTTTTTCTATCGAAGTCTGTACGGTTCTGACATGTTATGTTCGTTTTAAAACAGTTTCACTGTAGGCAGCAATGCTTGTAACATTATTAATACAATATTAAAGATTTCTAGTCGGAGATTTTCTAGTCCAGTTGATGTGGACGTAGCAGGAAAAATATGGCCGTGGTGGGGATAATGTGGGCGTGACAGAAAGATCATGGTCATGGTGGGGATAATGTGGGCGTGGCAAGATAAATATCGTCGTGGTGCGCAGGATGTGGGCGGGTTAAAAGGAACACGTTGGTAAAGGTAACACGTGAATATGCTGGATTTAGTAGAAAAGGTGTAGGTGTCGCAAGAAGAATAATAGTAAGGTATATGCGTGATAAATAATCGCAGTGTAGGCGTAACAAAAAGAATATGGTCGTGGCAAACATGATGTAGGCGTGGTAAAGCCCAGTAAGATAGGTACAGTCATGTAAATACAGTAGCATCAAACAAAACCATGAGAACAATTGCTGACTTTGAAAGAAAATTGCTGCCTATTATAAACATGTTACAACGGAATCTGTTGGGGTAATCCCTTACAAGTATTTTTCACTGATTTTCAATCCTCGACGATAGCTCAAATTTTGTCCTTTTCATTTTCTTCGAACGACGCGACAAATGCGATTGTCGCAGGACACTGTACAATAAACAATCTCGTTCTTGTAGGGCTGCGACAGTGAAATGCTATTGTCCCGCGGCGATCGGCATCCCGTGCATTCATTAATTTTGTATAGGTACACGAAACCGTCTCATATACGGGGGACTTTCTTTTCACCGTGTGTATGTAAATAAGGATAATTCTCGTTCGGCAACTATAGATAACTTCCAGGTATAAACGATGCTTCGCTAGCGTTCATTTGCCTACGCGTGTATCTCGCAGGCAACGAAGAACGCGAAAAACCGAGGGCTTGCGATTAGAACTTAAGACGTATGGGAACTGCTGTTCCAACCTAGCGGATGTTATTGCGCTATTACTAACGGGAAGCAGGAACATAATCTGCTCAAAATAATTTGACAACTTAAATTGAATACTGATCCTACTTATTAGACATCAACATTTTCGCGCTCTTCTGAGTAAGTCTACATAACCTCTTAGGCTATTCCAGGTTTCCTCTAGATTACTAGGTTATCTCCAGAATATTGTCACAATTATTCCAGAATAATTTCTTATAATATTTTCATTTTTTCTAAATAATTCCAAGATTTGGATTGATAAAAATGACATACAGTTTCTGTAATATTAAATTGGCGTGAAATCTATTCATACATAAGGTTGTTCCAATTATTTTGAGCTGCATATGTGTTGCTTAAGGTTCCAGCACACGGCACACAAGAGAAACGTTAATGAGAGAAAATTAATCGTTCTCGTTGTTAGATTCAACAATATCCGTTCGATGAGCATCAATCGAAATGAACGATAACAGATATCCGGGAATACGGTTCGATTGATTAAGGAAAGAATGACGGAACTTGATTCAATTAGGAGCTATCGCGAGCAGAATTGGCAATTAGAAAGTTTCGCAATAGCTTCGTCGAACAGGCCTCGGCAGCGAGCTCGATTCACCGAACGAGTCATTGGCGTAACTAGATAGGGACCAGGGTGGGTCTCCCTCCTCCAAACATAAACTACTTCCTCCTAAAACGTAACATGAGAAATGTAGAGCATAAGGTACCTCGTATATCGTATTAGAAATTAAAAAATTTTTTAAATCATAAATTTTCAAACTTCTATATTTTTAAATTTCCCGCGTTGCTGAGTTCAAATCTTCAAACTTCTAAATTTGCAAAATTTCCCAAATTTCTGTGCTCCTATTCAGATGTAATAAATCTTCAGATGTTCGAGTTTTCAAATCTTGAAATTCGGCAGTTCCTTGATTTCCAAATTCTCAGATTTCTAAATAAAGAATTGCAGAAGCCATTAGTTCATGTGTCTGATCCGATGTGTCAACACTGTTAGAAAGATTAAGGTACCTGATCCACCCCAGATAAAATTGCTAGTTACGCCAATGGAGCGAGCACGTAAATTCGCAAAGGACCAAAAGCTAAATAGAGTACGTCTGCGTTAAATTCCACTGGTGCGTTGCAAAATCAAGCGCAGTCGCGTGTGTAAATTCGTGACAAGAAGGAAAGTGACGTAAACGCAAAATTGAAATTCGCCGGATTCAAAAGGGTAAAATAACACATTTGGAGTTCACGGAGTACATGTAATATCGCAATAACTATCGGACCATTTAAACAAGAGTATACCACCAAACAGCAGAGCAGGATATTAACCCTTTATTCAGCAATCGTTTGTCAGGTTAGTTGATTCCTTGTTTTTCAAGGAGTCCATCCATACGAGTTTACAATCACTACGATTTTCCTTATGTGAATGTCGTGGAACTAAAATATTCGTACTCAGTAAGGTCCGTGGAAAAGTCCCTAAATTCCAGCATCCCAAAATTTTAATGTTTCAAAGTCAAATGTCATTTTCAATATTTTATCGGTATATATCATTGCTTCGTGATCATTATAGTATCACATTTAACATTTATGTTGCGGTGAGTGAGGTCTGAAAAAAGCAGTTTATTCACTTTCAATAATAATATATTTAAAACATGGTACGTGAACAAAAAGTAAATAAAATAAACATAGGTGCAAGTAAAAAGTACAATATGGCAGCGTTCGTGATCGATGAGCGGGAAATTCAAACACGATAACAGCGTTATAACAAAAGTATTAATTTATAACCATACCACTCCTTCATCTCTTGTTTCCACGGATCCTGAACTATATAAAGAATGCATAAACGTAGTATATAAAGAAATCATGTTAACGAAATAAAGGGTTAAAATATCTCCGCTATAACCGGACTGTATATCCATACACGCATTAAACTGTACTGACCGCGAAGATCCTATAGCTAGAGAAGGGGCGAAAATAAACACGTACATGTAGTATCGCGAAGTTGTTGACTCAATATCAAACCAATTTACAAAAGCGTTAAAACGTAGATATCATAGTGGAGTATAACGATCGCGCACTTACGAAATGGATTTAAATAATTCTCTACAAGTTAAAGTTTAATGGATCCAGTGATATTATACTTCATATGTTATAACAAGCATACTTTGCTACACTTTTTTTGTAAATACGTATCTTACTGAGAATACAAAACCAATATATATATATACATATAAATACGTGTATACATACATACATACATATATCGGCAATCTATTACAGTTTAAAAAGGCTGTATCTCAATGTTGAGCGATGAACGTTATATTTTTATTGAGAATAATTTCATTGTTTTCGAACGAAATATCTTTAACGCTTTTCTTGCATACTGCTGGAATAAATTGCAATTTTCTTGAATCGATTAAATTGCAAAGTACGACTGTTAATTAAAACGATGTGAAACGCAAATTTTGTTAGGTTATCTACATAGTATTTATTTGTAATTTTGAGCATAGTTGTATATACTTACTGCAAGCAATATATTTATGTTCATCGATTTTCAATATCGAAAGATGATTTAAATTAACATCAATTATTTCTTGTACAAAAGAGTCTAGATAATGAAGTTTAATTAAATTGTATAGCTCGATTTTATTGTCAAAGTTTAAAAAATAGAGTTTCTCGATAGTTGACCGAAGGAGAAAATGTACAAAGGGGGTTGTTCTCGTAAACGCGACACCAGCGCCGCCATGGAACAAACGAACGAATGCACAATCGATAAAATCAGAACTCTACGTGATCAGTGATTTTAATCGAAAGCCTAATTGTTGCTCACTTGTGTTTACAAACGTCCACGATCGTTTCAAACAGTCCTCTGATGCGTTCTTCTTTTAATATTTTTTATTTGCGAGCTTTTTATTATAGTTCCCGCCAAAATATAGCGTGATCGTAAACAGTGGCGGATTAACTGCGTTGCACTCGAGCGTGCACGAATCATAACCAAAATTATAAATGATAATTATTACAAACTAGATATGTGCAAATGTTTGTTTCTAATTTATCGTTTATATTTAGACGTATTAACAGTTTTGGTACTACTTAATTTTTTATTTACCTTAATGTCAACATAGTCTTCCTCGATAATTGTAATTTCCAATCGAAACGTTTATGTTGTATCGAACGAACGATATCGACGAAGGAAATTCATTCGACTTGCACGTGTCTATCGTAGATAAATTAACTCAACGTTTCCTATTCATAATTCCACAGCAGATACACAAGGCAGAATATGAACAAAACGCTGTTGGATTTTAATGCTGCATCTAGAGAAGGCTGTGTTCGACATAGCTTAGATATGTATATATGTTACGTGTATGTGTCACAGTGAAACTTGATAGCACTTCCCTTATTATTTTTGCAAACATTCAGTTACATGAAATAAAATACTTTTCAGTATTGAATCTATTTTATATTTTTAATAAATCAGATCCAAAAATGTTTCTACAGGTAAAAGTTAAAATTTTCTTACTCGTGAACTTTTACTGTGACATATACGTACACACAGACACATACCTGCATACCAGTGCATACATGTAACACATGCGTATGGAAAAAGACGTACATAATGCACACACCATATATAAGGTCTAATAATCCCACATCTATATAGTGAATATTTAAAACGAAAAAAAAATTGTTCTTCGCGCATATTTATTCCCCTTCCATCCAACGAGAAATATGTAATTATCGCGGTAATAACACGAGGTTCAATGTTGCGTACGACTTTCTATTATATCGTAGCATATCACGCGTTGTCATTACAGCAGATGTCATGTCCGATCTGGAAATTTTTAATTGATATCTTGAAACGAGGAACAGATTTTTTCTATTTGTTATTCTATATTATTCTGTTAATTTTATCTGAAATTATGTAGTTTCTCTGTAGAAATTACGTATAATATACTATATACGATAACCTCTTAAAGTTAAAATGAAAAGATTTGTTCCTTACTTGTATGATGTATATAGAAATTTCCAGATCGACTTCTAATAAATATGCATATGAAATTATATTCGGAGAGAATGATTGCTATAGAAATGGTGCTATTTACGAAAGATCAATGATTGCTTATCATCGAAGAAGCACAGTTGTAGACGTACTCGAAGTGAATTAAAATATCGATTTTGTTTCATCGATTGTTAATTTTGGTTTTAACTACGCGAATATATCAGGGTAATAACCTTATTATATGAACGATATTCGAACGAAATCGAGAATACTTGATTGTATGTAAATTAAAGTTTTTCGATTTCATTCTTATGCATTTGAAACGTATACTGCTTTGGCGCCAAAACTTAATGATAAAGGTTTACTTACACAATTCAACTATAAGCGAAACAGATCGACCTCCGATATTAAATAATTGCAAATATTTTGATTTATTTAGTATTTACTACTATCATCTATTGTTAACAATTATTACAGTGAAGTCTCGCTGAGTGGCTCTGGACAGATCGTAGAAACGGGAAAATTGTGATTATTAAAATAGTAATGATTTATCGTCAAAAATTTGGAAACTCACCAGTTTAGAATTTGTTCATTTCAAATTTGTAGATTTTGAGATTTCATACGAATAAACTTTGTCCAAGGGCCATGTGACGGGACTGCGCTATATTTAGTGTACTGTTACACTTCATATGACTATCGAAGTATCGAAAATGGGCGCGAATTTTGAAATGCATTTAATTCTAAGAGAACACAAAGGGGGCGCTACAAGAGATTTCTTCGGTGTTATGATTCTAGCTTGGGGTACATTACGTTCGGACTGTACCTCTAAAATATTTAAAAAGATATTGACAATATATATACATGTGATTGACAGAAGGTTCCATCACAGTTTTGTAAACTACATCGTATTTCTATAGGGTTTACCATTATGGGAACAGAGGAAGCGCGAAAGGAGCACGCGATAATAAAATTATAGCGCAAACGATAATTAATACTACTGAAAAATGAGAAAAAAAAAAAAGACAGCGGTTTACCGCAATAAGATTCTGAACTGCTGAACTTTAAATTACCTTAAAAGAAGAATTCGCGTGCCCTGGATATTTTCCTCTTTCCTTTAGTAATATCGTATTAAACGTTTTTCTCTTTCTTTGTTTTCTTTTCTCTTGATAATACCGTACTTACGGTCCAGTAATACACTGCATACGTATGTTTATTGAAACTTTCCATGATACCGAATTAATGATTCAGTGCACTCGATCGATTAATTAATTGTTCGTATTCATTTTGAACATCTACTAGGCTATGTTCGAAACCAGACCAGATTTCTATTTTATACCTGTATTTCACGAACAGGATATTAGGATGATGATCTATTGCGCATTATTATGTATATGTACATTTCGTTTAATAGAGATAATATTTCATACTTCTCACATAATTATTGACTATTATACCCTGTACAACTGAATCTTTTTTCTTTTCTATATATTGAATTGTTTATAATAATATATTCTTTATTGGTTGTTTTATAGCATTGCAAGGAGTTTACAAAACTTTATGATACTTTATTTTTATAGTAAATTATAATAGTATACGTTACACGTAATAGCTTCTATTTCCCATGGATGTCTGCCTTTCCCTATATACTTTTTTATCTCACCTCTTCTTTCTCTTGTTTACATAGTATACTGTTGAAATTCAGAACGTTGTTTAATGTTCTTATCAATGATTCAGAACAGTCGTTATCAAGATTATTAATACAATTTACAGTATATATATAAATTTTACTTGGATTTAAGTCTTATCTCATGGCATGATAATCAACAATCCTGTTACTGTTTAATTCGTTTATTAATTGTGCCTGAATTATAAAGCTGCATATAAATTTTATCGTCGCATATTTCTTGAAAACAAGTATTATTTTCGAGCACTGGAAAATTCAATTTCAGCAAGTGCAAAGAGGAAACTTAATCATATTGTATTTTCATGCATGAAACATTATATCATTCAATTATTTTTGTACAAAAATTATTAAATTGTTTTTTATATACTTTTACAGTAAATGTACAATATGTGCTAAAAAAATAAAAGCATATATGTACATGTATGTAAACTATAAATTTTCAAGTAAAACTATGTACATATATTTATCAAAATACATTAATTAAGTATTTAGTACAGTATACTCAATAGGTATTTCAAGTGTAATTTGACTTTACAAATTGCTTTGTGCAAAAAAATATGCACAGAAACTTCTTTTTCTGTTACTACAAAGTTGTTTGATTTTTATAAAAAAGATAACAATCGCTCAATAAGCAATTAAGGTTTCTATCCTTTTTATATAACATTTCATGATTTCACGAAAAATATTTACCATGTTGACTGCCATGTTAATACTACTGAAAACTTCATTTCATCATTTAAGTAGTATTTCCACTTATAACAAATCTTATCAATTATTTTCGCAATGTTTCAGTATATCTGTTGTCCATAACTTCAAGTACTTAATATAACCATTTTTAATTAGATAAATAGAAGGATTCTTATAGAAATTCGAGCGCTATCCATGTATGAATAAGATGACAGTCAACATTATCTTAAGTAATTACAAAAACAACATTCTTCCACGTTTCAGATAAATTCTCTGAACAAATGAATCAGTGAACAAGCGCTGTAATAAAACATTCATATCTCGATCTAAAGCTATAGAGCATATAAACTTATGCTTACAAAAGTAACATTTGTTTTTATATCTTTATACATATCTCAGTTATAAATACTTAAATATATTTATTCCCTTCGTAAATTTTCGAGCCTAGCCTGCAGATCAGCATCTGCATCTGTAAGATTTCCACCATCATCGTTTCCTGCGGCAGTTGCAACTGGTTGCTTCGAACCTGCTACACTGAGTGAACCGGATGCTTGGGGTAGGCCAGATAGTTGGTCTGTGAGTTGCAAACCTAGCTCATCCAGTACTTGTGACACAATAGCATCACTGTGCAAGTAAAATAACATGATAAAAGTGTTGAATAATAATAAAATTATTTCCACAAAAAATATTTACAACAATAACTATATAATTACCTTTCCTCTTCATCAGCCTCATCTTCCATCGCATCATCTATAGCATCATTCATAATCTCTTCTTTCATGTCCATTATTTCAGACTGTTTTTCGAATTCTTGTAATATCTTTTGTATTTGAGGGAGATTTAATTGCCTGTAAAAATTAATTTTTAAGTATGTGATGTTACAATAATAACCTTTGTTATATGGTAAATTTCAATTTTGTTGATTCCAATTTTAAGGAAATCAAGGTTCATACTTGTTCATATTCTGCATTGCTCTTGTTACTCCCTTCATAGCTTGAGCCATTGTATTTTGAGAACGCAGTGTTTGAATTTTCAAAGCAACTGCTTGAATGTTTGCTTTCATTAACATGAACTTCTTCACGTAACGTCTAGTTCTTACAAGATCCTTAGCCATGATTTTCACTGCATCCTATTAAATCATTGATAACAAGAGGTTGACAACATCAAGAGACTTTTTAGAATTTTGTTAAATTACCATTTGCCCATCCTTGGCCAACTTTTTTATGTCTGCGATAATCTTCTTCTCTTGCTGTTCCATTCTCATTCTTTCCCTATCAAGATCCCGCATAGCTTTGTTCAAAGCTCTTTGATTTTTTCTAAGCATCTCCTCAGGAGTAATTCGTTTTCCAAATAACCACTCCATGGTTGCAAAATAAGATAGTGCAACAAACCTATTTACCCAATTTAATTCTTGAAGGAATACAAATTAAAAAAATGTATTAATATTTATTTGAGTACAGTAAAGATACTATGAATTTTATACTGCAAAAGTTATCTGAATTATTCAAACACTATGTATCATATACGTGAAAATGTTGACAGTATGTACACTTCAGTACTTCAAAATTGACTTTTGTGAGGTTAAAGAGATAATATTGGGACTACGATATGATTATTCGGAACTGACAGGTTGGATGAGTCACAAATCTAAAATGATTGAAACTACAGTTACATATAGCTATATATTTCAGCCGATTTTGACATTTCAAACGTAATTATAATTAAAAAGACGTCATAGTGTACTGTATATGATTCTAATCATTAGTCTCTTTGCAATACCATCAAATTACGAAGAAATGTGTCAGAATTCAATTTATTATTCGTTCCACGGTAGATCATTCTCAATTTGCGCACCTTGGCTAACTTCAGTAAACTCCCACTATTTCAGTATTGCCCCACGTTTTCTACTTCTGATATACAGAGTGGACAAAATGAACATACGCGAATAGCGAAAGAGATAGAAATAGTTGGTAACTTCAGTTTACATCATGTCAAAAAATGGATGGTTGATCTCATCTTTGTGATCTTGGTCCAATTAACATTTAAAGAGAGAAATGTGTTTCGTAAATAAAAGAATTAAAAGATAAAGTTGGTAGTAAGTGTCGATGAAGATTCCTTAAGTCAAAAAATGTTTTGAAATGCGTGAGACGACATGTATGCGATCTTACAGAAGAATCTTTGCACGTATACTATCGGTTGGTTATAACAAAAATTGAGATTTCTTTGTAAACTTAAGAAAATTGTAAACAAATTTTGCAAAAATGAAGACAGCTTTGATGGTAGCTGAAAAGCCGTCTCTGGCAGCTTCGTTGGCTAATATTTTAAGTAATGGTCGATGCACTTCTAGAAAAGGTAGGTTAAGTCCTTATAAGATTTAATTTTATTCATAATTCATAACTTAAAAGTTTTTATATTACGATGTATTGTAATTGATTTATTCAAAGTTACAAAAATATTTGTACTTTATGATACGATTGTTAATAAAAAATGAATTTTAGGTTTGAATGGATCTTGTTCAGTGCATGAATGGGTTGGTCAATTCAGATCTGAGACCGTAAACTTCAAGATGACATCAGTTTGTGGTCATGTCATGACATTAGATTTCATTGGAAAGTATAATAATTGGGATAAAGTTGATCCTGTAAGGAAAATATGCATAATTACTTAAACATTAATGTGTTTCATTTATTAAATAATTTGATAACATACAATCTAACATAAGTTATTATTGTTGTGTTCAAGGCAGAGTTATTTTCCTGCCCAACTGAAAAGAAAGAAGCAGTTCCTAAATTAAAAATCCCATATTTTCTGGCTAAAGAAGGAGCCCATTGCGATTATTTAGTATTATGGCTAGATTGTGACAAAGAGGGTGAAAATATCTGTTTTGAAGTCATATATGCAGTACAGCAAGGCATGAACAGGAGATTAAATCCAAATGTAAGACCATTGGATAATAATTTTTTCTTGAATAATTTTGTAAATTTTATATTTATCATAGGACATTTGGCGGGCAAGATTTTCTGCCATTACAGAGAAAGATATAAAATCTGCATTAGCAAACCTAATAAAGCCCAATGAAAATGAAGCAAAGAGTGTGGATGCTCGACAAGAATTGGATTTACGAATTGGTTGTGCTTTTACTAGATTTCAGACAAAGTTTTTTCAGGTAAAAGCATGGTAACATAAGAACTTCTGCTCCATTCACTGTACTTTACTTTTATCTTTTATATTTTTCTTCTGTTAGGGAAAATATGGGGATTTAGATGCATCACTTATTTCTTATGGTCCATGTCAAACACCAACACTAGGATTTTGTGTACAAAGGCATGATGAAATTCAAACATTCAAACCAGATCCATACTGGGTACTGCAGGTATAATACCTTATTATTTAAATAACTATGTTTTTAAATATGTCAGAGTATAATACTTTCGTGATTCAGTAAGAAAAAACGGATAAAGTGAATACCTTCAAGGTTACAGTTAAATCTTCTGATGGACAAGATATTATCTTAAGTTGGAGTCGTGTACGTTCATTTGATAAGGAAATAGCAAATATGTTTTTAAGTCATATTAAAGAATATGATCAGGCGACGTAAGTATTATATATTCTCTATTGTCAATACTTAATGATACATTTATGCATAAATAATAATTTATTGTGCTTTGTAATATAGCGTTTTAAGTGTGGAGAGCTCAGAAAAAACAAAATCGCGACCTATAGCTTTAAACACAGTGGAATTGATGAGAGTAGCTAGTTCAGGTTTGGGAATGGGCCCACACCATGCTATGCAAATTGCGGAACGTCTGTACACGCAGGGATATATAAGTTATCCTCGAACTGAAACAACATTATACCCAGAAAATTTCGATTTACCGTAAGTCGAATAAAGTGTTAATTTTGTTCACACTTTAATTCAGGTAAATATATAAATATTTATATTTAGTGCGGCATTAAAACAACAACAAAACAATCCCGATTGGGGAGATCAAGTTCGTAAAATACTGATGACTGGCATCAATAGACCAAAGAAAGGACATAATGCTGGAGACCATCCTCCTATTACTCCAATGAAACATGCTACACGTAGCGAACTTGATGGAGATTCATGGAGATTGTACGATTACATAACACGACATTTTATTGCTACAGTAAATATCGCCGATTTAATGTAATGTTTTTCCAATGTTGAAAAATTAAAATGTTTTATACTTTACAGTTAGCTGCTGATTGTAAGTACCTGAGTACAACAGTTAAATTTGAAATAGGAATGGAAACTTTTACCGCAAATGGTCACAGTTTAATAGATCCCGGTTATACCAGTATACTTACTTGGCAAACCCTTGGGAGTAATGACACGTTACCTAGATTTACAGTCAACGAGAAAGTTAATATACAAGAGGTAATAAAAATAAAATTCTTAGTGATATGTGGCTAATCGATTTGGTTATACAGTATTCATTTAGTTCTTAACAAATTCTACAGACAAAATTATTGGAATGCTACACACAACCTCCAGATTATTTAACAGAAGCTGAATTGATATCTCTCATGGAGAAACATGGGATTGGTACAGATGCCTCTATTCCAGTACATATAAACAATATATGTATGCGAAATTATGTTAATGTTGCGGCTGGCAGAAAATTAGTTCCTACATCACTAGGAATTGTATTGGTTCATGGATATCAGAAGGTATGATTTTATTAAGAAGTAACTAATAAATTTATGTGTTAATTTTTTATTAATATCAGATAGATCCTGAGTTAGTTTTACCTACAATGAGGTCTGCAGTAGAAGAACAGTTGAATCTGATAGCTTTGGGTCGTGCAGATTTTCATGCAGTGTTGCAGCACACTGTAGAAATTTTCAAACAAAAATTCCATTATTTTGTGAAAAGTATAGAAGCAATGGATCAGTTGTTTGAAGTTTCCTTTTCTCCTCTTTCTGCATCAGGAAAAGCACACTCCAGGTAATAAGATGCATTTGTGTGCAACGAGTACATAAATCATATAATCTATAAACCATAATGTTTAATATTTAGGTGTGGGAAATGCCGACGTTATATGAAATACATACAAACAAAACCGTCAAGGATGCATTGTGCTCATTGCAACGAAACGTATAACCTTCCACAAAATGGTAACATTCGAATTTATAAAGAACTGAAATGTCCATTAGATGATTTCGAATTGCTCTCATGGTCCACTGGAGCACGAGGGAAAAGCTACACATTCTGTCCATATTGTTACAACAATCCACCATTTAGGTAATTGTCTTTATATAAAAAAAACCCATAATGTTTAATTAACTGAAACTGATGAATGCATTGTATATATCAGGGATATGAAAAAAGGAACAAGTGGTTGCAATTCATGCACACACCCAACGTGTCCTCACGGTATGAATTCCAATGGTATATCTAGTTGCCTCGAATGTGACACGGGGATACTTGTACTTGATCCTTCGGCTGCACCCAAATGGAAACTTGGATGCAATCGCTGTGATGTTATTATTCATTTATTCGAAAATGCCCACAAGGTAACAGTCGATACAGATGTCTGCGACTGTGGAGCTCAATTAGTAACCGTAGAATATAAACAGGTAAAGTAGTAAATCTAAGGTGTCTCATTAACAGGGAAAATTATTCGTATGCAAGTGACTTCATTAACTCTGGCATGACCAATTACCTCTTCCCTGGTAGCTACATGGTCTCGCTACAGATGATTTAAATTTCGTTCATTAAACAACTTATACCCCTATAAATTTACCCCTAATTTGGAAGTTGATTTAAAACTTAATAAGAATTTAAATATAACTTGGATGATAAATTGGGATGTATAATAACGCAATTTTCTCTCCATTACAGGAAAAAAGTAAACTACCTAACGAAGCTACGGAAATGACTGGCTGTGTTTTTTGCACGCCAGCTTTTATGCCTCTTGTAGAGAAGCATCGTGCCGTCGCTTCGAAACCGGTTACGACTCGTGGTCGTGGTCATGCTAAAGGTCGCAGTCGGGGTAAACCACGTCCTCCAAAAGATAAGATGGCCCAACTGGCTGCATATTTTGTATAATGATCATTTGTAAATGAATCACATAGTTGTCGCAATTTCCTTCCTCTTACAATTTAACACATGTGGTAATATAATCATGAAAATAAAAAATAAATATATTCATTAACTCAGCGTTGCGTATATGAATATTGGGGGTATTTGGGTGGTTCGATATGCCGGGTACTCTAGGGATCTGAAACTATCCAAATCATGGATTACACCCGACATCCTTACTAATGGAATGCCTAAGCCGTGTCTTTAAATAATTTTTGATACATTGTTCAATTTTAATTACGATTCAATTAGCTTTGGATAAAAACTTCACTGTGTTCTATATTAACGATAGTGTCGAAAATGTGAAGTTACCGGTTGCTATTTTTGAATGTTTTAGTACATAGCCTAGAGAGGGCGTACTATACTATTTATATAAAATTTAAATGTCAGAACATCAAAACTTGTACCATTAGCATGTTGATCATTACGGAATGATTGTTCAATATAATAGAATAATAAAAAACAAATTCTAAAAAGATATAGGGTCCTAAAAATTTTGTTGTACATGTTTAGCTATAATGTAGAAATAACCCTCTATAAGTAAAAACTGATCTATCTCGAATTTGTATAAGTAATTGACATGGTATGAAATGTCAAGAGCAAGTGAATAATACAAATTAAAAAGTAGGGTTTCGATTACTTACGCTACATATACATCTTACAACCGATTCAAAACCAAAATTGCTTTCATAAAAAAATAAGCTGGCAAACTTTACCTTTTCCATCAAGCGGTTTAAACGGACACTGTCAAAAAAGCACTTAATCATCATGGTCAAAAATGAAAACACAAAATGAACCGAATTTCTATATACGGGCGAACACGGTCGCGAAGTGCCGATCATCGCGAGAGTCTATTACAGATGGTATCGGCAATGTTCCGCGGAGAAAGTTGATTGGCTCGAGGCGGTAATTGCGCGGTGGTGGGGGAAGGGGTGCGAGCGAGAGGGCGAACCAGTGCGGTTACGCACGTAGACGAGCAGTGTCAGTCGGTAACCGTAGCTTGTAGCGCGTGGATCTATCGGTAGAAACGAATCGAAGGGGGGCAAAGTGCGCGCGCGTTGCCTGATTCGCGAGCTTCGTAAGCTCTAACACGCCGCGTTCTTTCTATGCCGTGTTGTGTACACGTTTTCTCGCTCATCGAGGAGACACGCGATTGACAAATATAATGCGGTGAAGGTAAAACGTGTCCTGGGCGCGGCGACTCCGGCGGAAGGAAGAAAAGCTACCAAGGTGGCCGGCATGTGCACGCAGTCCTGTCGCGGCACCGCTGCTGCTGTCATTCTGACAATGTTCCTCTGCCGGATTTGCTCTGCCGAGGAGCAGCCAGGATCCTTGAACGGACCGGCTCTCTTGGAAACCTGCAATGTCACTGCCGATGGACGGGAGCTCACCTGTCGCGGTGCTGGCTTCCTGTCTATCCTGGAACCTTTCGATGTCACCGCACTTCCATCCACCGTCAACCTTACAAAGCTGTGAGTAACGGTCACGATGTACGCGTGTTTTCTCACGGGCGTCTTATTGCGACTCGATTCTCGATACCGCGTCAGGCGCATCGGATGTTAAAATGTACGCGAGATCATATTTCTTTTCATATCTTTTTGTTTTTTGAATGTCAGCGTATGTACAGATTTTTTGAAAGGTTTTCGTCGTAAAAGTTTTTGAGACAGTTGATGTTTTGAAGATTCGCTACGTTGAAAGTTCGATAGTAGACTCGAACGATACTCGAATCGATTCAGAACTTTTTAAAAAAACTTCAATTGCGCCAATTTTCAAGGTTAAAATTTCGATAGCAATCGAATGATACTTGAATCTATTTCGAATGTTTTAAAATGAATTATGACTTGAAGATTTTAATGGTAATTCGATCTCGAGCTATACTCGAATCGATTTCAAACAATTACCATAAACATTTACAAAACTAATATTTCGATGGCAGTTAGTCTCGAGTGATCTCGAATTGATCTGGAATGTTTTAAAACGATTAATCAGTACTGTTTACATTTCCAGGGTATAAAGAATGAAATTTTCTGTCGTATTTATTTCCATTTCGATTCGACACCGCCGGTGAAATACATCGATACTTTACGTATCGAAAGTACCTACCGTAATCGAAATCTAATCGCCATAATGTTTTCCGATACAGCTAATACATCTATCTTGTTCGATTAGTATCAAGTTTCAAAACCACTATTGATATCGTTCTTTAATTTTGTTGATAATACAGCTTCTACACGAAAGTATAGTTAACAGTTAGTTATTATTTTAATATAGCACGTTTGCATGTACACATTACGGAGATCTATGTAGACCAAACGAAAGCGAGATGAAAGAGATTCCATGGTCAGAGAGCAAAAAGTATTACCATGTTAATCGTGCGAAATCTTCCGGACAGTTTGAAAACGGTAAGAAAAAACGAATGACACGCGATTCAAGCTTTTTTCTGGCCTGGATTCCATCCGAAAGTATTCTTCGAGACAACTTAACCGTAGTTTCTCGTATAGTGTGCACGCAGTCCCGCGTTTCAACTTGTCCTCGTCTGACTTGCTGCGATGCATACTACTACGCGAGTCTATTTCCGTTTTGTTTGTTTTATCGTTATTATCGTTATTTCTCGGTAGCTGTCCGATCGGAATTTGTTTGTTTTTTTCGAAGAAATAAAGAAAGTTGTAGACTAACGGTTATAATTATAGGCAAGAAGTATTGCGTCGGAGGGAAAGATATTTTTATTAGGCTGCAAATAAATTAAAAGTACAATAAGACTGGTTACGACAGCCTGTCCAATGTCCCGGAAACGTGGGTCAGGCTAAAATTGTGACGCGAAATATCACTACGAGAAAACACGGTGACAATAAAATGGCGATTTTACAGGGGATTCTGTATACTAAGTTAAGATAAAAGAACTTTTGTGCAACGATATGTGTCTACGTAATGGTACTAGATAGTCCTTTTTATGCAAGTTGAATTTAAAGTTGAATTCTACTTTCTTTTTAAGTTAAATTAACTTTGATAATATTCAAGTATAAATTTCAAAATGAATATACTGGAAAATTATTGGCGAACAAGAAGCTTTTAACGTAACACTACTCCAAACCAGATTAATGCAACCGAATATAATTACTACACGTTATATGGTTTCCGCGTGTTCTAATGTCAACGTGTTATATCGCTGAGTGTTAAATTGCCTTCACTAAATAGACGTATTGCGTGGAGTAAAACAATTTAATTGTTCGGTGCAATGACGAACGTTTCCAAGAATGAAGGAACAAGCTGGCGTACGTGCAGAAGGAACATCTCCTAAAGGCAAAAGGTACGAAGCATAATCCCGTACAAGTACGGTGACGTTGCGACCTACATAGCTAGAGGTTGATCCTTCTTCACTCGAAGACAGTCGATATTTTATAGAATACCGTTTAGGATCAAGGAAACAACGAGATATTTATGTAGGTGTTCTCGTGCTGATTCCTTCTTCTTCTGCATATTCGTCCTCCTTTCCATCTTCTTGAATTTTCAAAGTATCGCAGCGATCGTGTGGAGACAGGAACGATTTTCAAGATCTCTGAAAGAGCTTTCGTTCTGGTCGAGTTTTCTCGGAGAAGGTCGATTTGAAAAAGGAGTAACAGCGCGCGAGAAGACAGCGTGAAAGCCGAGAGGAGGAGGACACTTGAAAAGAGGAGTAATTTATCTTCCGACCCGGAGAATCGGCTGATTAATCGATGCTGCTCGTTGAGATTAATTCGCGGACTGTGCTTAGAAGTCTGGAAATGGAATCGTCGGAAATTATTGGCTGTTATCGCTTTTCACAGTGGTTGGTAGATCGACTAGGAAACTGTCTACCCTCTTCATCAACCGAATGCCTGATTTATTTATCTCTATCGCGGGATTCCTTATTTGATTATTTCTTGAACACAACTGGGTTATTATATTACACTTTATAACGCTTGGCAATATAACGTGATGCTGTTTTAACGACGTCGTTATACAACACATGGCGAATTAATGTATGGTGATGCAATACACTGGAAATACAAAGTGCGATATAATGCGATGTAATTTAACATTTCGGCAATATAACGAGGTGATGATTTAACGTCTTGGTGATATAACGAGAGAATTGAATATTTCGAGGATGTAACACATCAACGATATAATACACTGGCAATATAATACGACGGCGATTTAACACTGGCTATTTAACGTTTCGGCAATATAACGAGGTGATGATTTAACGTCTTGGTGATACAACGAGAGAATTGAATATTTTGAGGATGTAACACATCACCGATATAATACACTGGCAATATAGTACGACGGCGATATAACCAATGGCTATTTAACGTTTCGGCAATATAACGAGATGATGACTTAACATTCTTCTCATACAACATATTGAAGATTTAACACTTTGGCAATATAACATACTGGAAATTTAATGCTTTGAACATTCAACGCATGGTAATTTAACACCTCGGCGATATAACGCGCTGATGATTGTCTTGGTGATATAACAAGAGAAATGAATATTTTGACAATGTAACACATCAACGATATACTACACTGGCAATATAACATGCCGGCGATATAACACACTGGTTATTTAACGTTTCGGCCATATAACGCGATGGTGATTTAACGTGTCACTGATGTAATGTATTGATGATATAACGTCATGACGATATAGCACGTTGAAAATTTAATGTACTGACGATGTAACGTGCAATATACCGTGCGGTGATATAAAGCGAGGCAAAATAACAAGGTCTACGTTGGAATATTGTTTAAGATAATACGTTTCTATTATTTTCATTAATGTTGGAGACAAATAAAAGGACGATTATGAGCATCACGTATGATTCGAATTAGAAAGAATCGCGTTGATGAATGAAAACAATTAAAGAATAAGCTTTTACATTGGTGTCGACGAAAGGATGAATGAAAAGTTTGGGCCGCGATGCGTTTCTTTCCAGCCGACCGACCACGTTTTCTATAAATATTTTGGATGTTGCGGCGTGCACGGCGGCGTTGGGGGCGCTTTTAAAACGGTCGTGATTTATTTTTCGGCAACCGGGAAATTAATCGCCCCCTAACGCGGCGAGATATCGGTCGCTGAAAGGGCAGATGTAGAGCTGTCTTTATGTAATAAATGGAGCAACTGTTGATCGCGGAACGATTGCCAGAAACTTGGATTTCCTTTGGGAAAATTTATGTAATGCTACTTACGTTTTTTCCGCTTTCTTTCACTTTCTTGGCTGTTATTCGCGCAATAAATTTGATTTTTTTGCGTTTGAAACTTGACGATTCACCCTCTATACCGATATTACACATTACGTATATCATACGACGACGCACCGTGTGGGTCTCGTATTGTCTAATACAATTACCGACGCACCATGTGCGTCCTATTTAATAGCTACCCATGTACACTACTCCTTACGAATGAAATCGCTTAATTAATTCCTTATCCTAATAGAATCAGCTTGAATTTTATGAGAGAAAAAAGACATCAAGCGTCAAAGTAGGTAGTTATCGTGCTCCCAAAGCAATGTTCGCATGGTATGTAATTACGCCAGAACATCATTGTCAGGCTCGATAAGTTCCTTACCGTCGCTCGTAATTAGGAAGCTAATCGTAAGATGCTTTAAAAGCCATTTCGATTTCAATTAGAGGATAGCAGAGACTGTCTCGTTGTTCTATATAAATTATCTAGTAACAGTACGATATAGTCTACTTAATTATCAACTGCTCTAAACGAATCAAATTTTTATCCACTGGCAAAAGATTTTTAATTTTAATATGTTCGCTACCATTATTTCATCTAATATAATATAATCTCAGACACTAAATATCTGAAGCACAAGGTCTATTTGGAGTATATTTTATCGTTCGATAACGTACGAAATTTCGTACTATCTTCTCTCGATAATGCAATACGGTTCTAATATAATGCGATACGAATTCTGCTCTTGAAGTGGTTCAGTCGTTCCTTCTTATCACCGTATAGATCTATCTATATTGCGTATAAAAGAGACGTTTCTTCGGGAGCATATCCCTAGGTCCTCCTAAATCTCTAGGACGATTGTATTTCTAGATCCTTATATCCGGTGTAATTTTAGGTTCTATAATTTAGGTAACTAACAACCATAGACTCCAATATCACTAGATACTTAAATTCCAAGGTTAGTATCTCTAGACCATAATAATACATCAAAATATCCCCAGACCATACTCTTTCTAGAACAAAATGTTTCTAGATGCTTATTTAGGAATGTCCCTAGATTATAATACTTCGGTATTGCAATATTCCTAGCATTTGAATATACCTAGATTCTAATGTTTTTGAATTCCAATATCCCTAGATTCTAATATTTGAAACCTTCAATATCTTTCGAGGAAAATATCCCTAGGCTCAAATATTTCTAGACTTAAATATTCCTAGACCGAATTATCCCTAGATCCAAATACCCCCAGATCGAAT